TATGTCCTATCAACTATTGCAATCCAAGAGAAAGTCAAATGAACACGTACTATTATACCTGGGAGAGAGATTTAATATTAGAGGAGAGCCCTGTCCAGACAAGAGGAGAAAATAAAAAACTCATACCCTTCTCCCAGTTGATTGCAGAGACATGAGACAAATAAGGAAAACAGGGCAGTGGTATAAACTTATCTCTTTGGGCCAAAATCTGAAGGATGAAGTATGTTTAACAGTGGAAAAGTAAGTCAAAAGGAGAAGAGCTTTTATGCCACTTTTAGTTAATGATTTTGTAAAACCACATCAAAACCATATGAGATCAAGAGTGGCTAAAAAACAATAACAAAGAGTTAGCATTTTCTAGCCACTCTTAGCTCCCATATGGCATGGAAGGAACTAAGAAGATCCTGCTTGTCCTAGAGGGATGAATATGACATTCTTATAATCTGCTAAAGTGAGAAGCTAAATCTCTGAGTTTACACATACACAAGAAAAAGCAAAGTCAGCTCTAGAACAAGTTCTGACCACATACCACTGTCCCCAGTCAGTGCATCCTGTCCCATATCATAAAGTAACACCTTATGCATCCAGATAACATTGTGAAAGGGTAGGTAAGAAATCAGAAAAACAGACTAACACACAGGAGCCTGTGATTTATAAAGAGTGTTTACATTATTGGATAGATTAAAATTGAGGGTTTTGGTTCCCTGCAGATTTGAGATTAAGATTTGATGAGTTCTTTTTCTTTTCTTTCATTTATTTATTTTTACATTTTTCCACAAACATTTACTATACATAGCAAAAAATTTTAGCTCACACTCCATAATTCTTGACAGTTTACAGACAACTTTCAAAATAAGATTAGATGAGTTCTAAACAATAAAAAGATATAATTTCTTTACACATCTAAGTATAGTATTAGTAAATGTGCAGGGATATGTAAACAAGACAAAAATAAATTGTAGAAAGTAAATCAAAACATTAATAGTGCTTATCCATGGGGAAATAGGTATATGAATTTTGGGTTTAATTAGTATATAGTTTTTAGTATTGTCCAAATGTTCTTCAGTGAAGATATTATTTTAATTTTAAAAAGACCAAATTTCAAACCACTCTGAAATCTTTATTCATTTTATTCTTCAGTATAAGAACACAAAATACCTTTCCAAAATGACAAAGTGGTCACATTCAGTGAATTCAATATACTATAGGACAAGAGAATTATACACTGTAATCACGATTTACACAATTATATAGAACACTATGTGCAAACTTTTGAAAATACTTTAACACTTCACTGATGAATAAACTTAGTGTAACTATGTTCATTATTTATCACAGGCACGTAAAATACAAAAGCCTATGAAAAATCTGTTATTAACAATAAATATGGTTTTGACTGAAATTTTTAACCATAAATGGGCTGCCTCTTAAGCATTCAAGTTTTAAATTCTATTGCATTTTAATTACAAGATGAAGCAGGCACAACAAAATTAAATCTATTAGCTAAAAGACTAAGAAAAAAATACAAAAAATAAACCCAGTAAAAACCCTTGGGTTGTTTTCCAAGATTATCTTCCCAAGTAAATATTGATCTCATTTAGCATTTCTGATAATATTCACAGTCACAGGTTAATAACTACATGACAAAAGGACTTCAGAAGGATTAAACTACTCAATATTATATTAATACTTAAGTTATTTACCACAGTATGCATTTCTTAAAAACATTCTAATACTAAAATGCAAGAAATAATGAATTTGTATTTGAACTTTTCATATATTTCTGAGACATATATTTTAAATGACACTATGAGAAAAATACAGAACACAAGACTGTAATTAACTTCTTATACCTTGAGTAACTATTAGATTTACATCGGTTAATTTCAAGGCTATATACACTCTGGTTTAGCGATCAATGTCTTCAACTAATGCCTCAAGATTTTTGCAACAGGCTTTAACCTCCTCAATTGCAGCCATCCAATTATCATAAATAATTTTGTCATAAATTGCATCATTGACTTCTCTAACTACCCCCTCTTGCTGAGATTCAAGTGCATCACCTGAAAAAAATAATACTGATCTTGGTATTACATATGTACGTAAATTGTGACCAAGTAAAAAATCATCATTTCTATCTCTTCCATTTGAGGTGATTCCATGAGGAGAGAAGAAATTGAAGAATGAATCCTTGGGGAAATCTTCAGTCACAGTTCGGATTGTTCCCCAGATTCGATGTTTCTGCTTCTTCTTAATGGTTTTCAAAGTGACGTTCTTTCCTTCATTCCAATCTATCTCACAACCTGTGGAATACTCAATTGCAGTTCCCCTATAGGGATGGGGATCATAATATGCTAGCTTTGACTTCAGTACATAAGTCTTTGTCAACAGCTCATTTTTGAAATATTCATTGGGTTTGAAGTGAAATTCTAGTGTGAAACTAAGAGGCTCGCCAGGGTCTGAAAGCTTAACTTTAATATCTGTCAGAAACTTCAGAATGGGTTCATCATATTTCTTAATCAAAGGAGTGAGAGTGTCAACATTTTTTAAAACAGTCAGCCAAAAATCAGGAATTCCCTTAGGATCCTCTTCTTTACTCTCTTCTCCAGTTGCCTCCATGACATGGTCTTCCTCCTCCTCCTCCTCAACAGCGTAATCATAATAACAGTCCTCATAACCATCATCCTCATCCACATACTCATGTACCATACCCTCCTCATTACCATACATCTTTTCCTCATCATACATTTCTTCATCATCATAGTTCTCAGACTCTGATTTATATTCACACTCCTCTTCTGTAGGCTCATAGATTGCATTGATAATCTGACGTCTTTTTTCCAGTAAGGGTTGATACATTTCAGCAAATTTCCTTTCAATGTCATGAAATTCCCTCAGAAATTTGGATTCTAAATTTGCTGCTCTAGTTTGAAGCTTCTTAAGGGCCAAAACACGATACTTAACTTTCACAGGTAGACTTTCAACGAAGTCTGTATCTAAAAGATACCCGATAAGTCCTTTTGGTCGGTCTGGGTCTAAGTCCTCATCAGTATCTCCACCTTTAACCCCGTGTCCCCCAGACCCAGCAGAAGCATCTTCACCTTTTTTCCCTTCTTCTCCCGGCCCAGCAGCGGCTTCTTCACCGCGATTCCCAACATCTCCAGGCCCGGTAGCGGCATCTTCGCCGAGTTCCTGATGTTCCCCGGGCCCATTCATCATTATTTTATTACCAGCCTCTTCTTGGCTGGATTCTGACAGTTCCTTGCGGTCAGCTGACTCGGCCATTTTTCCAAAGGATCTTACACGTCTAAGGTGGCTACCACCGAGATCAGAAGACCTGAACTTGAAGGAAAAGACTCACCGAAATAGCAGAAGCGGCGATCGCTGAGGAAGAGGTGGAAGGAACAGTGACTGCCAGAGTGATGGAGCGACAGTTAAGGCTGCAGCAGGGATAAAAGGCAGTGCTGAGGCTGTGAGAGCCGCACTGAAGCAACGACAGCCTGGGCTAGGGTGCAGAGGGCTGTGATGGCTGCCGTCACGGGTCCTGCAGGAACCCTGCAGAGAGTCGCAGTGGGCAGAGCTCCTCCACAAGTAGCTGCTGCGGCAAGAAAAAACGGTGCCGCAGTATGATTACGCAGCAGTCTCTAGGCCAAACGTTCTCTGTGCAAATAGGTTGCTGCGTCATTCTCTTCCCTCCCACAACTCTTCCTTAATCTCATTTGCTGGGACGTACTGATTGACAAACCCTGAGCCAATAAGTGATTAGATTTATCAAGATTCTAACTCCTCTCACCTTTCCAGGTTCTCTAATATGGCTGATTCATCCACCTCCCACTTAGCCTCCATCTCCCCCTTCACGGAGTTTTCTGGAAACTCACTGTTAACTATCTTATTCATTCAGCTTTCAACTGATATTACTTTTATAATTTCAAAAGAACTAAGCGAAAATAGTGACTGAAACGTTGGACAATGGAAGAGGACAGGCACCCATTCATTCTTAATCTAGCCTTTTGATTTTAGCCTGGGGCTCTGGAGAAGTCAGAGGTGAGTTATGGAGGAACTTGAGAGACCAGATGGCTTAGGCTTAAAATCACCAAAAATTAGCACTGGTGGTTTTTTTATGGTGTGGCTGCCAGTGACCTAAATATTTTATTTTCTGTTTTACTGTATTTTCCACCAGCTATTTTTTTTTTTTAGATCAGAAAGTTTTAGTAACATTTCCTGTAAAGAGAAAAAGAGGAGGTGAGATGGAGGAGTGGATGACTAAGAGCCTGTGATGAAGAACCACTATGGTGTATTCAACTATATGACTAGTGAGTACAGATAACAATAAACCAGTTATCTATCTCATCAATAACCTCAATCCTAGTACTGACTTTCCAGTTCCTTTCTTGGTGTTAAAACCAACTGAGAATTTTTAAAAAAGAAAAACCAAAATGTGAACTAATACTTATTTTTAAAAATCGTAACTTTCTCTTGACACTTGTAAGTTAATAGAAAATCATTTAAATTTTAGTATTAAAAAGGTGGTTAAAGGGAACCAGCAGTTGGCATAATGGCTACGTCACTGGACTCCCACGTAGTTGACCATGGTTCGCTTCCTGGACCAGGTGACTTAAAACTCACGCAGGGTGCGGGTGCGTGTGTGCCCAAGATCCTGAGAGGAGAATGGAAGAGAAGGGATTGCGGCATGACCATCCCCCCTGGGGGGTGATTTCTCACTTTCTGTCTCTCTGTCTCTGTATGTCTGGCCAGCACACCACGCCCTACAGCGAAAATCTCTCTCAAAAAAAAAAAAAGGTGGTTAAATACATGATACGGTATTGAAAGGATCTTATGCTATGCAATGAGTTAAGATTTCCTCTAGGTATTAGTTATTGGTCCATATTTCCAATCCTGATCATTTAATTGAAGTTAAAAAAATTTTAAGTGCCTATTACATTTTCCATAGTTAAATAATAATTTTTGTGGCATTATGATCACATAGAAAAATTGTGTCTACATATTGTAATATTTATTGTCAGAGCCTGTCAGTTCATAGGTAATTTTTTTCTCTTTTTATTTATTTTAACTGTATACTGCATGGCATTTACAGCATTTACAGAGTTCAATTTTCAGGCATATGTCTAAGCCTAGTAATTCTACATCTGTAAGTCCTGTCTATTCTAAGTTTTTCTTCCCTGGTTCTGTATGAGGAGACATCAACAATTTGGGATAAAATGGAATTATAGTATGAGCTTATTTTGTAGCAAAATTTTTTTTTCAGAGGTTTTTGCTGTAGGGTGCATGTGCTTGCCAGAAAGACAGAGAGAGAGAGAGAGAGAGAGAGAGAGAGAGAGAGAGAGAAAATGAGAAATTACCCCCCAGGGGGGCTGGCCACACCGCAATCCCTTTTCCTCCATTCTACTCTCAGGATCTTGGGAATGCATGCACATGTGCCCGGCATTTTAAGCCACTGGGTCTGGGACTCAAACCGCAGTTGACCACGTGGGAGTCCAGCGCCATAACCATTATGCTAACTGCTGGTGCCATGGAGCAAAAATTTTTTAAAAAGATATTTTTTTTTCATAATATGAATTTCCAAGAACTCTTTTTTTAAAAACAAAACAAAACAAAACAAAACCTTGTGTACTCAATTTAGAAAATGAGAAAATTTTTATTGTTTGAAAGAAATCACTAATATTCTCACAACACTTGGAGCACTAGTGTGGACATTTTGGCCCTTTTCTCTATACTTTGTTTATACATATGTTTATGTTTAGGGTGGAGCTTTTTAAAAGTGAAAGTAGAATTTGGTGGCTGGTTGGATGGTGACACAATAGTAATACCACTCTCCGCAAGGCTGACCCACATGAGAAGGTTGTGGGTTCATGTCTGGAGACCTCTCAAAACATGTTGGGCACATGTCTGCCTATAATCCAGAACTGGCTATAGCTGGGGCTGAATTGTGGGATTAATGTCCTGTTTTGGGGGAGGAGGGATGCTCTCCCTCCCACACACTCTGGGAAGAAAAAAAGAAATTTAAAAAGAAATAGCAAAACTAGAATAAGCTCTTTCTTTCCCTCATTAGCATGCCCTGATGTCCTTAAATATTTCCAAGAATGTGATTTTAAAATAAAACTTATTGTATTTAAATATGCAGTTAAACTAAGTTATTAGTTTACTTAAGGACAAGGAGACAGTATCTTCACCTACTTTTAATACTGAAGTGTCCAGTGGATGGCATGCTGGCTAAGGTAGTGGACTCCCACATAGCAGACTATGGTTCTAGTCCTGGACCCAGCAACTTGCTTTCTCGCTTTCTCTCTTTCTGGTGAGCAAAGTAAAAATTAATGATAATAATAATTAATTATTTAAATAATTCTTAAAAAAAGATTGAAGGGTCCTCAGAGTCATACATGCAGTCACAAATACCATATTGCTTCAATTGTGGTTTGTCTTTATGATCATATGGGTAAAGTCATGTTTTATTTTCTGTTAAAATTCTTTGAAGAAGTGCTTCAGGATATTGATTCCCATTGTTTAAAATTTACATTGAAAGCTTTCCTTCATCTTCAAGTGTGTTTCATTACATAAAACAAACAAGCAAACAAACAAAAAGCAAAATTGATACCAAAAGCATAGACAACAAAAGAAAAAATACAGATAAAATGCAACTTCTTCAAAATTAAAAACTTTTGAGCATTGAAGGACACTATCGATAGTTTTTGCCTTTGATATTGAAAGGCAACACATGGAAAAGGAGAAAATATTTGCAAATTATATATATGATAGGAGGTCAGTCTCTAAAATATGTAAATGATTCCTGCAAACCAATAACTGAAAAACAAACCAATTCAAAACTTGGCAAAGGACTTGAACAGAGGTTTATACAAAGAATACAGGAGAGTCACAAAGATATGAAACGATGCTCAGCATCACTTATAAGGGACATGTGAATCAAAACCACAATGGGATACCACTTCATACCCATTAGGTTAGCTATTATTAAAACAATACATAGAAAATTACAAGTGTTGGTGAGGATATGGAAACCTGGGAAAACTTGTGCATTTCTGAGGGGTGTAAAATGGTGTGGCTGTAGTAGAAAACAGTATGGCTATTGCTCGAAATATAAAACATGGAATTACTATTATACATGATTCAGCAATTCTACTTCTGGGTACATACTCAAAAGTTGAAAGCAGGATGCCAGACAGATATTTGTATGCTCCTATTTATTACATTATTTGTAATAGCCAAAAGCTGGAAATAGCCCAGATATCCTCTGGTGAATGGGTAAATAAATGAAATGTGATCTATACCTATATATCTATATCCATACTTATGAGGAAACCTCAAAAAATTCATGGAAATGGCATTAAAAGATAAAAATAAAAAGATAAACTTTATTTCTTGTCATAATCTCTATTAATTATAATTTTGGAGAGAGATTTTTTTTAGCTATCGGGTGCATGCACTCACCAGGGAGACAGACACAGTGAGAGAGAAAGTGAGAAATCATTTTCCAGAGGTGATGACCACGCCACAGTCCTTCTCCTCCATTCTCCTCTTGAGATTTTGGGCACACACACACACACATGGGCTCGGTGTGAGTTTCAAGCCACTGGGACAGGAATTCGAACTGCAGTCAGCATGTGAGAGTTCAGCACTTCAATGACCATGCCGCCTGCTGGCCCAAGCTCCATTAATTTTAAGACACTTTTCACTCCCAGACCCAGCACTAGCCAGGACAGAAAGCTGATAGCCATCTCCACCTTTGCCTGTTTTATGCCTCTGAATTCTACCTTGAGGCTATGAAGTCTCTCCTAGCCAGTGTCCCCCTCCTAGACCCAGTCCTAGGCAGGACAGAAAGCTGCAAGCCATCTCCGCCTTTGCCTGTTTGGGGCCCCTGGGTTTAACTTCATGGTCGTGAAGTCTCCCCCCAGCCAGTGTCTCCCTCCCAGACCCAGTGCTACCCAGAATAGAAACCTGATAGCCATCTCCACCTTTGTCTGTTTGGGACCTCTGGATTCAACTTCATGGCTGTGATGTCTCCCCCAGCCTGTGTCTCCTTCCCAGACCCAGTGCTAGCAAGAACAGAAAGCTGCTAGCCATCTCTGCCTTTGCCTGTTTTGGGCCCCTGGGTTCAACTTACAGTTGTGACATCTCCCCCAGGCAGTGTCACTGCCCCTCTTCTGAGGGCTGTTGATTCACACTAATTACTCTGTCTTTTGCCATGCAGAAACATTTTAGTCTGATGTAATCCCAGTTGTCTATTTTGGGAATTATCAATTGTGCTTTCTGGGTCTTAGTTAAGAAGTCTTTCCCT